TCTCTAGTCAGCGATCAACATTCCCCCAAGAGAAAGAAAAGAATTTATTCCCCTAACATCCAACGGCCGAAATCTTTCTCGACCATGGACTCAATCTCAGCCGTTAAACTCTCCTACATATACATTTCTTCGGCCTGCGGCTTCTTGGAGTCTTTTCTTGAGTTCTCCCTTCGTATGCCATTTTTTATGTGATTCTTACTGAACCCATATAACCAATATAGTTCTTAATCGATCTATTAATTTTACACATTTTGATCTGGGCTTGTGGAAGTATTTCATATACGACTAATTTGATTCAAAATGTTTGGGAGGGCTCCCAAAAAAAGTGATAATACTAAGTACTATGAAATTCTCGGGGTACCTAACACTGCGTCACAGGATGATTTAAAGAAGGCTTACAAGAAAGCTGCTATCAAGAATCATCCTGATAAGGGGGGTGACCCTGAAAAGGTACCATTTCGAAGTTTTTGATTTTTCTTTTTTAATTTTTAATTATTGTTGTTTTACTGAGTAATTTTTTCTGTGAATTTTTGAATTTCTGGTTTTTTTTTCTCGGTTTGACTCCGATTTATGTGGTGAAAAATTGTATGATTGTAGTGTGCATGTGTAAGTTGTGGATGGGAGAGGGATCTCATTATGAAGTTTGATTATTCGATTTTCTTTATTGAAAATGTTGGTTCTTTAAGTGTTGAAATTAATTGAAGGAGGTCTCTGGAGATCGAAAAGGCTCAAATTAAGCCTGTTTGGCTAAGCTTGGAAAGAAGTAAATTACAATTTTGTTTACAAAAATATTTGTACTTTGCATACCTTACATTTTTATTACTTTTAAATTAGAAAAATTGACTTATTTTGGAGGCAACTCTTAGGTTACCGTCAAAATAAGTAGTTGCGTATTTGCCACTGACAAATTTTTTTTATTGATATTAAAACTTACTTATTTGCTTAAGGTAAACTTTTTAAGCTTAGCTAAACATGCTCAAGGAAAGGATTAATAAGAAGTAAAAGAAATAGATTATCAATGGTCTATGGAGAATGAAGCTACGACCAAAAAGGATATGATAGAGTTGACTTGATGCTCCATACTTAGTGCATGTAGGTTCATATAATTTTTTTTTCTATTACTGGTTCGACCCTGGTCCATTGTCAATGCCCAGGACCGGTTTTCAAAACATTGGTCTTTTTAAACATTTTATCTACTCTCACATATGATTATAATGCACAGAGACTTGTATCTAAAGACATTGCTTATTTGCAGTTTAAGGAGCTCGCACATGCTTATGAGATTCTCAGTGATCCTGAAAAACGTGAAATCTATGATCAGTATGGTGAAGATGCACTCAAGGAAGGAATGGGGGGCGGCGGCGGTGGCATGCATGACCCGTTTGACATCTTCCAGTCCTTCTTTGGTGGAAGTCCATTTGGAGGTGAGTTGTTTCTGCTTTAGTTCTTTATGCTTTTGTGGCATGTTTATTGTTTAGTATATGAAAACAAGCACTTGTTGGTTTTGATTAGCCTTCAATTTTCTCTTTCTTGGAGAACACTTTGTCTGAGTAATATGCTTGTGACCAGGTGGTGGTAGCAGTAGGGGACGAAGGCAGAGGAAGGGGGAGGATGTAGCACATCCATTGAAGGTCTCTCTTGAGGACCTATACCTTGGGACCACTAAAAAGATCCCCATAACCCGCAAAGTCCTTTGCTCAAAGTGTAATGGGTAAGTTTAATTGGTCATTCTACTGTTTCATATCATACCTGACATGCCCGTGTTTCGGGAATGAGCTAATGTGCCTCTGTTGGTGTTTTTTCAATGGCAGCAAAGGATCGAAATCTGGAGCTTCTATGAAGTGCTCTGGATGTCAAGGAACTGGTATGAAGGTAACAATTAGGCAACTTGGCCCAGGTATGCTCCAGCAGATGCAGCAACCTTGCAATGAATGCAAGGGAACAGGAGAGACTATTAATGTTAAAGATCGCTGCTCTCACTGCAAAGGTGAAAAGGTTGTGTCAGAGAAGAAAGTTTTGGAAGTCCATGTTGAGAAGGGTATGCAGAATGGACGGCAGATTACATTCCATGGAGAAGCTGATGAAGCGGTACCTTGACTTGACCTCGAGTATCATTTGTAGTATTTTTGAGCTTTCCACGATTGTAAAAGATGAACAGATACTTCATTTGGTGGTATTTCTTTGCAGCCTGACACAATCACTGGAGATATAGTCGTCGTTCTCCAGCAGAGGGAACATCCTAAATTCAAGAGGAAGGGCGATGATCTTTTTGTGGAGCAATCACTGTGTCTTACCGAAGCTTTGTGTGGTTTCCAGTTTATACTGTCTCACTTGGATGGTCGGCAGCTCCTTATCAAATCACAACCTGGAGAAGTCGTGAAACCTGGTTAGTTATTTTCTGGAAAATTCATCCTTTGGTCATGTTTGATAGTTAATATTAGATCACATTGTGACACTACCATGAGCAAAGTTTTAACTTATTTTTCCTCTTCTATTGAAGAGAGAAATTAAATCAATAAGTTTGTTCCCTATCTAGAAGTCTGAGCTTTTGATGTGGTGGACAACTATGAGAGCAGACATATGCTTTGAGTTCAAGTCCCGTCTCCACCCATTTGAAAATTGTGCTTGTATCAGGCATTTGACGAAAAAACATAAAAAAAAGAATCTGCCTGCATGTGAACAAGTTTGTTCCTTTCTAAAAAGCTTTGAGATGTGGTGGTTCAACGTTGCTAATACCATCTATTGCTACCTTATAAACATGCCATTGTATTTTATAAATTCTTGAAGATTTTGGTGTCTTTGCTTGCCAAATCTTGCAGATTCAACTAAGGCCATCAATGATGAAGGGATGCCGATGCATGGGAGGCCATTCATGAAGGGTAAGCTCTACATTCATTTCAATGTGGATTTCCCTGAATCTCTAACTGCAGAGCAAGTCAAAGCCTTGGAGGCAATCCTACCTCCAAAGCCATCTCTGCAACTGTCGGACGTGGAGATGGAGGAATGCGAGGAGACAGCATTGCAAGATGTTAACATGGAGGAGGAGATGCAAAGGAAGCAAGCTCAGCGTCAAGAGGCCTACGATGAGGAGGACGAAGAGATGCACAGTGGGGCCCAGAGGGTGCAATGTGCTCAGCAGTGATGATGACTGAGAGTGACTGATTATCATTACCCAATGCTGATCAGATTTATTCCAAACTAGTGTTTGTTTGCGCCAAGCCCAAGGAGCTGGCTTAATAACGCTTTATATTTTGAAACTTAAAACTAACTGCTGCTACTTTATGAGACTGTAGTTCAGGTTACGTGTTTACATATTGTTATTCTTATGTCGTGAGTTGTTCTTTTGGGAACAAAACTGAGTTTTGCAGCAAGAAAAGACCGAAGCCTATTGATGAATGGGAGAATTTGGTTTTATTCAATTGCTTTCTTGCTTTGTCAATTGTTGCCATGCCCTTGCAGAAAGTTCAGTGCTTTGCTTGTCACTATTGAGTGGGTGTTCTTGTTGTAGCGAGACTAGGACTTCATCTACAGTGGTAGTTTATCCACGGTAAGGGTCTTTGACTCGTATGGCTAAGTTATCTATGAATTATTTGAAGACTTAAGATTGGTCGGTCTATTTACATAATTTTTTATGGATTGATGATATGTCAAAGATAGTAGAATTTTTTTTTCTTTATTTGATTGACGAGATTTTAACCCAGTCCAATCTCTCCACATATATGTTGATAAACAAATCTGTAAGTTATGATGTATACGTAGCACAATCGATATTTTTATACGTCCATGCTAACTGAGTTTAGTGAGGTGCCATCACTGCTGGATTTGGTTTGTACAAAATTGTCAATTAGATGAGAATATTTATATGGACTGAGTTGAGAGAGCAATTTTTAGGTAAAATTCCCGTCATAGGAGATTCCTCCAACTTGAATTCTTCTAATGGCTTTTTACAATACACAATGAGAATTGATCTCATTTTTTAAAGAGACCCATTTGCCCTTGTTAAAATTATACATTTCTTCTTATCTACGACACATTTTTCAATAAAATAATATTACAAGTAATTCCAAATTTTTTTTAACCACATTTTTTAGAAAAAATATACTATTTCATTCATTAAAATTTCAAATAATGAGAGGCAGACATGAGCATCCTTTCCAAAATGTCCGACAAGGTGTGTATATTAGTCCGAAGACATTGAACTCCAAAATGTCCGACAAGGTGTGTATATTAGTCCGAAGACATTGAACTCTGCAGTAGTGATTCATATCTGTAAGACAGGAACTAGGAGCCACTGATTTGAGCTACATTCAACCTTTCTTTCCTGTTTTCTCAAGCACTCAATAAATATATAAATTCATCTCTCCCTAATCCCCTCAAAAGAATTTGTCGAACAAAGGCAATTAGTTGAATGCAAAATTCAAACAACTTACTGCTGCTGTGATATAAAACCAAACACTACATAGATAATATCTTATATGTTCCTTGATTAATACCATCTAGTGTTGTACACTACATCGCAGAAGAAGCCATAAAATCGCTTAAACCCAGGACAATTCTGCTTCTGAGGAGAGAAGGGAAATAAAAATTGAGAATAATAAATGCACATTGATGAAAGCAATAATAGAATGCAATAGTTGGTAAAATGCAACTAAAATTTACAATTAAAAGTTTTAGATCCATTAACCAACATCTGCTCGGTATATTCAAATCCACATAAGATGCATAGATGAAGTACAGACTTAGACTACAACTGTCTATTGAATATCAAGAAACTATAGAGCTTCAAATGCATAATTGATGATGTGGACACTGCAAATATCAACACCAATCAATTCCTACAAGAATTCCTAACAGTAATTTGCAGAACAGAACTACAATTGCTGGTTCGAACCCTATCTGAAATATAAATGCCCGGGTGAGAATGCTTGAACCTTCCAAAAAGTTTAGCAACTCGAGATGTTGTTATTCCCTCCTGTTCCTCGTTCAAAGATCGGGTCATTCTAGGGGATATTTTCTTTTGCTTCATTATCCTTTGACTCATCATTACCTGCTGCAGCTGCAGCTGCTTCTGCACCAACCTTCCCATCCAAAAGCTCTTTTTCAGCACAGTCCTCACCCTTTAACTCAATATTCACGTCTGCTATTTCATTAGACCAATCCTTGGACTCCTCAATCTTTGCACCAGCCACGTCTGCCGTTGCATTTTTGAATTCCTCAACCTTTGCACTTTCCATCTCAGCAGTTGCATCCTTGGATTCCTCAACTTTAGCATCCACCTTCTCAGTGGTTGCATCAATCACATCATCAGCCGCAGGAGGCTCCTCCTCCTTCTTGTCTTCAGTACTATGCTTGTCTGGGAGAGCACTGTCAGTAGTAAACTCACCATCATCATCCCCAGTATTTTCTGCATCAGCCACAGATACTTCAGGCCCTCCTTTAGTTTCTTCTGCAGCAGCATCCTTGTCATCATTACCCTCCACTCCATCAGCATCCTCTTTCTCCTTTGCTTCCTTCTTCTCACTGAGTTTCTTTTGCTTCTTTTTGGCAGTTTCAATTTCAGGTAACTCCTGCATCTTTGATTTGTCGCTTAACCTTGAAGAACGCCTTGGGGTGTCACCTGCACAGGTCAATGGCAGAGAAGGTTATTTTACTTAGCTTATCAGATGCATATTCTCAACTGTCTAATGGCACACAATTGAGGCTCAATTATGTCCTTGCAATCTGAACAGCATCAGATATCTTGTGTGCTTTAGAATGCTCACACCACATATACTCATGTTTCAAACATACACACACGCGCGCGCACACACACAAAGAGAGTCTACCTGTACCCCAATCAAACTCAGCAGCTGAAGGTCCTCCTGGATGAGATTTAAGGTACTGATCCAACTGTCTCTTATTCTTGATCTCTTCTCCTGTGGGGGCGGTGAATACTATATCATTCCTCCTAGGTGTCCCACCTTTCTTCGGAGTGAACTAGAGATTTTAAGAAAGTAATTACTTTGGACAAAATGGATAGCATGTAATTTCAAACAAACACAAATACTTTGATTAGTGAAGAAAAATTAATTCCTGAAATGTCAATCAAACAAAAAATAATAGCAAATAGTACAAGAAGATGATAGATCTTCTTCGTCATAATAGAACCTGATTCTCCTAAATAACCATTTTGCAAACCTATAAACATACCAGTTTAGTTTACGTAACTTCAGAAAGCAAGGCAAGTTTGGATATCAGTTTCCAAAAAAATGCAAAAAACAAGAAGTTTGAAAACCTCAGTTTATGCAAGTCTAGTTTCACTTGGATCTAGATGCTGACAACTTTCATTCAAACGCTACCTCATAAAATGGGTCTTTTTACAAAGCAATTTTTAACCAAACTCAATGAATTCTTAATGGATTTAACTTCTTCCCTCAAACTTCTGATCTAGAATGAAATGCAGCATAAGCTAACAACCAGGAAAGACCTAGAACATATTAAATGCTCATTTACTGGAAAATCTTTAAACATGTGCAAATTTTAAACCTTTAGTTGAATGAATTTGTACACGTAACTATTATCGACCATTTACAATCAAAAGGAGAAAGTATTTAAATTCTGCATGCATTGCCATACATAATTAAATTGTGTCATACAAGTCCAAGGGAAAGCTCACATTGCTGTAGATCCGTATTACTTCTATGCAATCATAACATAAGCATTGCAGTGTTTTATATACACTTAACAGAGTCTTCAATTTTGTGTTATTCCAAATCCGAAATTCGGTTCTTATTATCTGAAAACTAGTAATAATGACTTTAAACTAAGAAAAACACGAGTTGACCGTCAAGTAAAGATACTCACAAGCTTCTAAATACACCCCTAAAATGAAAGTTTTCTAATACCACTTTTAACCTTCATTTTCAGTAAAATGCCAATTTTAACATTTATAATAAAATATTAATTTTGCCTAACTGCCCTTGATACCAACCACCACCTAACTCACTAAAGAAAAAGACAACAAACTCAGGAATTTGTTCTCAAAGAAAATAGAAATCTATAAAGAACTTAGAATAATATTATATATATATATAATAAGTTCGAAATTCTAAACACAAAATTAGAAATCTATTTTCTTTTATTTAAAACTAGGTTTCTTTAGCAAGAATCCTAGGTGACAATAAAAGCACTTGTACAGCAATAATAGTTAAGAGCCATACTAACTAAATAAAACCGAAATAAAAAGAAAAAAAAATGTATGTAGACTGGAAAGAAGATTTCCTTCCACCTTCCAAAGTCACCCTTTCTTAAGGCACTGCAACACAGGAACCTCGAGGGGGGAAATATTATCCATTCTGAGTTCAAGAGATGAACCAATTAATTTATTTAAAATAATTGTACTACATTACTGTATAAGAGGTAAAATTTAGATCAATCTACCACTAATGCACCTAATTTAAGTGGGTCCACAACATTCCAATTCTCTTTTTCATCTGCATTCATATTTTGGTCATAAACAACTGAAACAATACAGACCCACAAACAGGGCGCATTCTCGTAAACAATATTACATCCATCATGACCAAGGAGCTATATGCTACGCTACAACCTCTAAAGATTTAATGGCGTGAAATGGAACAACTAGAAAGAAATTTTTGGCACTTCGAGGGTCAAGTTTCTCCCAAATCAAATGTAAAGTTGGAAAAACAAGAAACAGTTATCCCCTCTTTTCATTGATCATTGGATTGTAGTAGAATTCGAACCACTAAAACCTTGGAAAACATGGACCCACGACCACAGGCCACAATCTTTTTACTAACAAAATAAACCCTCATATTAAAATCACAACAGCTTCCGAATTATTCAAAACAAAACAAAGACTAAAAATTCAAAAAAGATACTCCTGACATGGGCACAACTTCTTGGCAGGATGAGTGGATTTGTAGATAGATTAGTCGTAGGCCACTCTGGAAGTGGATTTGGATGGGAAATGGCACCTTATTAGATATACTGTTGGATTCTATCAAAAAATAAGAATTGCCAAAACGTAAAACTTCCCAAAAAAGATGCTTCAATGATGCAAGATTGCTACAATGAATATGACGTATAAACGACATTCTTTTAAAAGTTGAATCCAGCTTAACAATACAATTTTCTCATAAACATAGAATCACAAATCTCAGTCAACAAGAAAGCAATTTTCAAACTGCGGTGGATGTAGAAATCAGTTTAACTACAGAAGATCGAAACAACAAATGAAGCTAGAAGGGTACCACTGATTAAAAAAAACTTTATCAACTTAAGAGGTATCTTTTGCTATGTGCACAACAAATATTTAACTATTAAACATCTTTCTGTATAACATCACATTTCAAAACACTTGATGAATGCCAAAATAGTGTGTTCCAACTTTCAAATTAAGAAAAAAAAAATTAATACGGAGATGAGCAACCGTGCTAAAAAATCAAAAAGGTTTTATAAGTAGAACCACACAACAGCCCTGATCCTAGAGCCTTGAGAGAAGCACAATTATATCTTTTAAAGCAAATCCATAGTAGAAACGATCATCGGGTGCTTAAAATGACCACTAGAAATACTCCAACTGAAGTGTGATGACCGCTTAGACTTCCAACTGTCAGTCAAAGCATTCCGTGTGAAATGCTCAAAAGCAATGACAGCGAAGGTTTTGACTCTTTGTACCCGCAGTCTGCTCAAGTATATCATTCCGATAACTTATTTAGAATAGGACCTTTATATAGAAATAAAAAAGAAAGCAGCAACATTCAGGATATAAAGCATGGACACTCCTACAAGAGAGGCGTGTCCACATCCGATGCTTATCGTGTTGTTCCGGACATAGACACTCCTCGAACACTCCATGATATGGGTTCGACAAGCCACATATTCTGTCCTATTTTTATATATTTTATAAATTTCTAATGCTAGATGGATACTTTAGGAGACATTCTTCAACTAAGTGTTCGACATGGCACGTGCCATGATGTATATTATAAAGTATAAAAGATAAATATACATATATAAATTTTAAAGAACATAATTTAACGTGTTTGTGTCCTACTTGTTTAGAAAAATCATGTGTCGCCATGTCCATATATATATATATATATATAATTGTTCCATACTAAAATTATATTACTAGATTACCACAGGAAACACAACTCTTAAGATGAGCTCAATTATGTAAGCATGGAAAACTAGTGCAAGTAAGGAATTCGTGCAGCATTTAAAAAATTAGCATGAAAGGGGAAAACAACGGTGTGAAAAAATTTCAGAAGCATAAATAATTGCAAGCAGAGATTGCAGAGATTGGGGACCATCATAAGATCTAACTAAAATAAAATTGGAAATTTGTAAATGATCTCTTCCTGCAGTAAAATAGGGAAAAAGAGAGCCAAAAAAAAAATTGAGTATGTTTAAGACGTGAGAAAGACATAATATTTATTGATTAATCATATATCATTATATCGTAGAAAGTTGATAGTAGTACATGCTACCCATACAAGTTGGGGTCGGGGAGGAGGAGCTACAACAAGAAACCCACTTATAATGGGGCAAAAATTCGTATATGATTGGACACACACGGGAAACTTAAACTAAGACCTCATATTACCAGGCTCTAGCTTGGTGCTTCCAATGCATCTTGATTACACAGATGCACATATAATCTGGTTTAATGGACACATATGATGGGTTACTGTACCCTCCACTTCTTTTATCCATAGTTCTATCTGATATGGAACATAATAATTTCTTAAAATACATAATATAGGAAAAGAAGATAAAAATCAGCATTGTATAAACAAAAAAAGCATAATTGGCAGACATTTTCTTTATTTCTCAAACTTTATTTTTCGAATCGAAGGAGATACATTAGATATTCGTAATTTTGTTCATCAAATGTTGGGCAATATATTCCATCCATTTGTCAACAGCGAAGGATCCAAAGGTTTTGGAGATTTTATGTTTCGTCTTCTTCCTTTTTACCGTTTTGCTGCATCTTTACGTCTTTGTTTCAAGGGTTTGGCAGTTTTTGTTGGAATTTGGTTTTAAGAATTGAAATTTTGGCTACCTTGAAAAGTGACTTTATGTCAATTTCGACCAAATAATCAGACTTGATTCGATAGTCAAATTACGAAAGTAAATAGATTAATTTGTTCTACTTGTCGAGTAGATCGTCGTAGTATATTTGGAATCTATAAACCAATTTCGGATAAATGAGAAATTATGGTCCCAAGTTTAAAGGAAAATTGAAATTCAGCATGTGAGGCTGTCCCTCGAGCGAACGACAGCAAAGCCATGGTTATGGTAGAGAGGAAACTCCGTTCGAGTTCGTAGGTCTAAACCATTTGGAGTGCTCCTAAGGATAGACGTAATCGTTGTATTTTGGAGATGATTATCGGAAAATCGTTAGCACCGATGCGGGGCAAATTCATCTTAAGGAAAAAATGTTAAACACTTGCCTCGATCAATCCAACCACTTGCATTTCCTCTTTCTGATTTCTTTACATTGTATTTGATTTCAAAAATACTAACTTTCTTATTGTTATATGAAAGGTTTTAATTGAAGAACGAAATGGCTTTCATCGAAGTATGGAAAGGCGTGAATTCTTCTACATATATATACTTGGTTTCAGAAGTCGATTTTATATTCAATTTCATGTTTATATAGAAGTTATGTTGAATAATATGTATGCACATATTATCGGTAATGTGTTTTAAGGATATATGCACGTATAATCGTGTAAAATAAACTTAGGGCAGAAAAATTTAAGGAGAATCAACACCTTCTTAATCCAGCCAGGAGGAACCAGAAACTCAATTACAACAACTTCATTCTGCTTATTCTCACCATTTTTCTCCGTTCCTCAAAATTTCAGAGAAAATTAAGAAGACCCCACGGCTCCTAACATTCCAGAAGCAGAAACCCTAGTCCAATCCTAATTATTAAATACACCTTCAATTCTCGCAATTCTTGTACAAATCAATGGCATTACAGCTCAAGACAACAATTATGACAAAATCAGCACGATTTCACAAACAATTATCGAGTCAATCACAATTAGTAATTTTCACAAATGCATTTCATAGCTAAATCAATAATCTCCGACGCTTTTCAATGAACATCAGCATGCACTTATAACTTCAAATTAACACGAAACTACTAAAATTACGTCAAAAAAATTCGAGCACAAATTTATAAAACGAAGGAAAACAACACCTTCTTAATCCAGCCAGGAGGAGCAGGAAGCTCAATTGCAACAACTTCGTTCTGCTTGCTCTCCTCGTTGTTCTCCATTACTCAATTTCTCAAACAAAATTTAAGAAATCCAAAATTTTTAAGATTCCCGCTTTCTCTTATGAACTATCTCTCCACTTTCTCCTCTGCAATCCCTGTAATTATTAATATTATATTTTTACTTGAGCTAAATTGGTTTTTATACACTGGTGCTTCAATACAAAGCGGTGACTTGTGTTAAATGTGGAATTTTATGACGGAACGCGAATATTCCGTTTTGTTTGGCGGCTCCATGCGTCACCCTCTTCACTTCTATGACTTTCCTCCTTTATTTTTCTTTGACGTTTGGTAACGGCGTTTCGTGTCAGATGTAGGCACCTAAGAGAGGCAGGATCGTCACAAAACCTGAATTGGGACTTAAAAACGAGTTTTTGGTATTTAGCTCCTATTTGGTTTTGATTTTCTCAAGTTACTTCTTTTTAAAATTCATTTTTAATTATATATTTTTCAATATAATAAATTTGCACGTAAATTTTTCCTACTTTAAACCATTTTTTCTCAAAAAAAAAAAAAAAAATCAATTTTCACATAATCACTTCTTAAAAGATCAAAATTAAAAGGATTCAGCGTCGCTTCCCCCTATTATTGATGACCACTCAAGAAATAAATAGAAGAGACCGGAGCAATANCAAGAAATAAATAGAAGAGACCGGACCAATATTTGAGCTAGGGTCGACTCATACTTAGAAAAGTACATATATCCAAGTCATCAATTAATGGTGTCAACATCTTTTTGTTGGAAAATGGTTTTTAATACTAGTGAAATGGGTCAACTTTGAGCCCAAATTAACTGATCGTTTGGTCCGTGAACCGATTTATTACTGAACCTTGCTGTCTGTTAGGTTTTGAGCTTGTTTGAATAGTGGCGACTGTTCTGAAGTGACTTGAAGGGTGTTCGAATGGCCACGAACAATTCTATAAATAGCCAGCCCTGTTGCCAAAATCATTACACCATTTTCATTACTATTATTCTCTGCATTGAATCTCATTCTCCCCTCCCCCCTCTCTCGTTCTGATATTATT